AGTCAAAATGTCTTTAGGATCAAAAGAAATAATTACTTTAAAATTTTTATTTAAGAATAGAATCTATGATGGCTGAGGTCATGAAATTAATAATTTGGGATTATGATTCCCACTGCAAAAACAGAAACAAAAAACCATGAACACCCTTTCAATAAGTAGCTAATAAATGATGGCTAGAATTAAAGCTGAAATACTTCTCTGGTCCAATGGTTACACAGAATCTGCTTGGTTTTCCTCCCCAGTGTTGCATTTCAATTCTAATTGCATGATCAAACTAACAAATTAAGCTCCAGACCCCTCCCCCGCCTGAAAAAAAAAGTACCTAGCTGACAAAATCAAGGTTGTAAGAAAATGCTTTTCCAGTACAAGTAATGTAAGAAACAAATGAAGTGAAGGAGAGGTTTCAGCTGGAAAGACAGTCATCAATATGGACAGATTACTGTAATTCTGGCTGCCGGCATGATCGATTTGGGTAGCATATGACAATCAATATTGCCCCATTTAGTGAACAACATTAGATTCATGGTTACAGAAGATGTTCCTAGGATAAAATTTAAACTGTATTTAATGATCATAAATAGCACAATTTATGCTGTGGAATCTTAGTGGGTACTTTTATTGGGCATAAAATAACTGACACAGCAGTACAATTACCCAAATATAATCAAGTTGATTTTTTTTTTTAATCCCTTCATTTCTTTTATGAGGAGTAAAGGATTAACTGCTGGTTTCCAAAGCCTACTTGTATCGCAATTTCTGTTGTAATTTATGTTAACTAAATTGTTGACCAATTTTAGAATGCTTCATTTTTTCCTTAATAACTTAATCTGATATTTCAAAAACGTACATCTTAAAATTTAATACATTATGTTTCTGAAACAAGTATTTATTTAAAATTAAGATAGATGTACCTGCATTTCAATATCTTAAAATACAAATGTCTAGTTGTTTATTTATAAATGTTCATTTGAAAATCAAATCATCCACCTGTATGAAGTAATTTCCCCCCAACATTTAGAATATAGAACTTTGTACATAATATACATATTTATAATATATATATGTAAGTATGTATTAAGTAGAGATACTACTAGCCTTTGCTGCATGTATATACATACTACACTAGGTATATATACTACACCCAGGTAGTATGGGAAAACAATTTCCTGCCGTTTCTAAACTCAAGATTCCAAGTCAAGAAAAATTTTTTGATCTACATGATTTAATGTATTTACTCTGTGTCCCAGAAGTAATTTTGCTGGTAGAAAACTTCAGATTTTGTGTTTAAATAAAGTATTCATGTTTACTATTTTCGTCAATTTTCTCCAATGTGGTATCTATTACATCTCAGCAAGATTGGCTATTAAAAACATGATGAAGTAGGCCTGAAAAATCCAACCCAATCAATCAACCTACCAATCAACCAAACATAAAAACCCAATTAGGCAATTCCTTGGTGTTGGGTAGACTTGTTTTATATTGACTGTAATCTTTACACATAACAGGATTAATCATTGCACAAAATAATGTAACTTATGATTACATTTACTAAGCACATCCGAGTTCATTAACTCATTTAATCTTCACAACAATTCTAAGATGGTTATTAGCATCTTTTTTACAGTTGAAAAAAGTGAGGTTCAGAGATTCCGTGACTTGGCCAAGATCACAAGGCAGAGCTTGAGTTAAAAATTAATGCTTTCTAACTGCAAAGCCAGATTTTATATACCTCTAGTGTAATATGAAGTCTGAAATAGAAGACTATGAACTGGGATGTAGAAAAAAAATTAAGCCATATTCCCAAAACTCTTGAGTTTGCATTTTAAAACTACTTGGTAAGGAGTGCATCTTAAATGTTGTTGTACCTCAGGTCAGAAAGTCTGTGCTTGTTCAATAAGTTGAGTTCCTATTTTATGACATAAGAGGCAAATAGTTTTGCATTACAATCTAATTGATCTCACCACTTCCCAAAAAGACCTAACACATTTATTTACACAAGAAAGTGCAAACTCTTCCATATCTACCTCTGCACTCCACTTTCAATTGCACCTTTAATGAAATGACAGAGGACACTAACTCTCAGAATGGACATTAGGATACAGTGAATTGTGAAAGAGGCAAAAGTCAGAGAGTAAACATCCTTGATGAAGCTAACAAAGTGGATAAAGTTTATGGGTAATAACCTGTATATTCCACATAAGATTAGCTACTGTTCTAGAGATATTCAAGAGACAACAAACTGAAAAGTATACTCCAATAAACAGATTAAAACTACAAAGCTTTTATGGAAGTACAGGTTGAGTATCCCTAAGCTGAAAATCTGAAATCTAAAATGCTCCAAAATCTGAAACTTTTGAGCTCTGACATGACACTCAAAGGAAGCATTCATTGGAGGATTTCAGATTTCAGGTATTCAGATCAGAAAAATCTGAAATCTGAAACACTTCTGGTCTCAAGAATTTCAGAGAAGGGATATCCAACCTGTATTACAATGACATAAAAATCAGAATAATAAAAATTTAGAAAAAGTAGATTAGGCCGGGCGCGGTGGCTCAAGCCTGTAATCCTAGCACTTTGGGAGGCCGAGACGGGCGGATCACGAGGTCAGGAGATCGAGACCATCCTGGCTAACATGGTGAAACCCCGTCTCTACTAAAAAAAATACAAAAAACTAGCCGGGCGCGGTGGCGGGCGCCTGTAGTCCCAGCTACTCGGGAGGCTGAGGCAGGAGAATGGCGTAAACCCGGGAGGCGGAGCTTGCAGTGAGCTGAGATCGGCCACTGCACTCCAGCCTGGGCGACAGAGCGAGACTCCGTCTCAAAAAAAAAAAAAAAAAAAGAAAAAGTAGATTAGGAAAGTAAGAATTTGTCAGTAAGCACCTTGTTTTGTTTAAAGGAAAAAGATACTGTGTCTAGGGAATGATGCTGTAATTCCTAAAAAAGGCACATGGTATGTGTGGACCTTATCAATGGTAAGCTGTGAGTATGGGTTTCATGAATCATAGTTTGTTCACATCTGGTGAAAAGACTCAAGATTCCAGGCCCCAAAGGTAAAGGAAATGAAACTGATTGCTGGCTGAGCTCAGCAGGGTTCACAAAAACTCAAGGGTCTTCTTGAATAGTTCCTCCTGATGCTTCAAACAATCAACAGACAATACAGTCTTCAAAATAATCTTCAGAAACAATCAACAGACTGTATAGTCAAAGACAAGTGACTTAGAAATAAACTCGCTATGTCCATACTACTCACTGAACTTGCCTACCGAAATTTCTTTTCAATGGATAAATCTCTATTTAGTGGATGTCTCCAAATTATACTTTTGTTAACAATTCAAGGTCCATTTTAGTCCTTATCGTTTCACTAAAATGACTACTTCAAATATGAGTTTTCAATTTAAAGTTAGTGAAGATATAAATGCTATGAAAAAGAAGTACCACAGAAATGTCATTAAGCTTCATCAGTGTAACATACCATGATCCACCTGCAATTCCATTTCACTGTGTCAGAATACATGAGAAGTTACAGAGTAATCAGATTGCTTAAGTCAATTTTCATCAAAAGAAGAAAATGTACATGGTAGACTACTAAGTTAAGATAATAAATCTATTTCATGTGGACTGGAACATAAGATATTTTTAAAAACCTTCCTTTAAAGCTTATCATTTACAGTTTATTATAAAAAATAAAATGTCTTAAATCATATAAAAAAAGCATATGAAAAACATAAATAATTCATTTTAGAAAGGAATATCAGAAAACAATTTAAAATTTAAAACTTTGTGTATGTTGTGTGCCAGGCATTGTTTTAAGAGCTTTATACATATTGACTCATTAGTTGTCATAACACCATGAGCTAGATATTCTTATCATTCTCATTTTATAGACAAGAAAACTCAGGCTCAAAAAGGTTAAATTATTTTCCCAAGGCTACACAGCTAAGAAAGCATGGCCAGCATGTGAGTTTAGGCAATCTGGCTATGGAAGTTATGCTCTTAAATATTCCACATCTTCTCATACCTCCATGTCTCTGATTATGTTGTTCCCTCTGCTTGGAAGGCTCTTAGGCTCATCCACCTGATTAACTCTTATTTGTCCTTCAAAATTGCTACAATCCTCACTTTTTCAGAAATGTTTCCTGACAATACCACCCCATCCAGGTGAGAGACCCCTTGTTACTATACTTCTGGAATACCTGCCCATATCTCTATTAAAACATGTATGCTGAACATAGTATGTTTCCCCAACTAGATTGAATTATTTGCAAAGACTGTTTTGATTATTTCTGCAACTCCAGAGTAGTAGAGTACCTGACACATAATGAGACTCTAATTAACCAAAAGATTAGTACTGATTAAAAGTATGTAAAAGAGGGCTGGGCACAGTGGCTCAGGTCTGTAATCCCAGCACTTTGGGAGGCTGAGGCGGGCGGATCACCTGAGGTCAGGAGTTCGAGACCAGCATGGCCGACATGGTGAAAACCCGTCTCTACTAAAAATACAAAAACTAGCTGGGCATGGTGGTGGACACCTGTAATCCCAGCTACTTGGGAAGCTGACGCAGAAGAATTGCTTGAACCTCGGAGTTGGAGGTTGCAGTGAGCCAAGATCTCACCATTGCACTCCAGCCTGGGTGACAAAAGTGACACTCCATCTCAAAAAAAAAAAAAGCATGTGAAAGAAAATACATCATTCAAATATCATAAATGCTCCAACATTGGGGAGGAACTCCACCATCTATACATCAATAAATAGAGACTCAGGCTGGGTGCAGTGGTTCACACCTGTAATCCCAGCACTTTAGGAGGCCGACTGAGGTGGGACAATCACTTGAGCCCAGGAGTTTGAGATAAGCCAGGGCTACATAATGATACTCCATTTCTATAAAAATTAATAATTAAAAAAACCCTAGAAAATAAAAGGCTTTAACAATACATAAGAAATATTTACCTTTGTGAGTAGACATACATTAGAGTAGAAACCATTACGTTAAAAAAAGGATACAAGTTTTGATACAATGGAATCAGCGATTTCAGAGCACGGCTTGCATTTATAGCTGTTGCTCTAACCATAATGGGTAGAACCTTTCCATTCACAATAGCACCATCAAAAAGGGGACCAAAGAAGGGAACCTGAATGAGAAATCAGAACATAATTTTATATTCAAATTATAGACAGATTGTAAATAAGAGCAATCAAGATACTTTGTATCCAAAAGTATTTTTGCTGCTGCTTTAGTTCTTCCTTCAGTAAAAATACTATTTGAATTCAATTCTTTTCTATGATGCGTCACTCATACTAGGACAATAAACAAAAAATGCCAAAGGTTTATAGGGTGTCTATTCAAAAGAACTATATTCTTCATGTAACTGAGTAAATAATTTACACACTTAGCCAATTTTCAAATTTTACTAGTTTCAGTTGTATACAAAAAGTCAACACTATAGCCTAGAAGTTAGTTCTTCATTATTTTTGTGTGACACTAGCTTTACTACAGAACCTAAAATCCTCATTACATAGTTTACTAGAAAAAAATCTATGTTTTGATAATTAAATGTTATTTTTGTGAGGTGACTCACTCACAGTTTCAAAACTTAGAAATTCTGTTTGAATAAGGTTGGCATAAATGGCAGCTGAAGGCAAGGACATAAGCTCTGGATAAGATGGTAAATATTTTAGATTTTGTGGTCACATGTTCTCTCTGTTGTATATTCTTCCTTTTTTTTTTTTTTTTTTTTTTTTTTAACTCTTTAAGGCTGGGTGCGGTGGCTCACGCCTGTAATCCCAGCACTTTGGGAGGCCTGATGACCTGAGGTAGAGAGTTCGAGACCAGCCTGACCAAGATGGTGAAAATCTGTCTCTACTAAAAATAGAAAAATTAGTTGGGTATGGGGGCAGGCACCTGTAGTAGCAGCTACTCGGGAGGCTGAGACAGGGAACTGCTTGAACCCAGGAGGCGGAGGTTGCAGTGAGCTGAGATTGCGCTACCGCACTCCAGCCTGGGCAACAGAGCGAGAGCAAGACTCTATCTCAAAAAAACCAAAAGCCAAAACAAAACCAACAACAACAATAAAAAACGTCTCTTTAAAAATATAGAAAACCCCAAAACCAAAACAGAAACATTCTTAGCTTGTGGGTTGTATGAAACCAGGCTATGGGCCACAGTCTGCTGACCTCTGGTTTAGGTGAACCCTGAAGAAACCTAAATTCATACATAAGAAATTCAAACATGAGAAACAATACAATTCAAGGAATTCTGAAGATTCATAATCAATTGTCAAATGTAGGTTTTCTAGAAACTGAAGAATTCAGTTTAAAAAAGGGAAGAAACACACCAAAAATACTACCAAACTTTTATTATCCTTGAAGAAAATATTTCTGCAATAGTGTGTTTGAATTTTATGGTGTATATATAAGACATCCAACTATAGGATAGGTGACTGAACCATTTGGCTTATTTTTTTCAATTTGTAGAATCCTCATTTATTGACATGACTAATAATGATGTAATCTTAATAAGATGTAACAACTAAAAATATAGGAATCATATATTCCTATTCTAAAGGAAATGTTACTTCTTGCTGTGTTTTTTAGGAAACTGTAATTGTTCTCTTAATAAAAGGTAAGTCCTTTTTGAGCTTGGTACAAAGGAACTTTCACTCTGGCACTACCTACCCAAATTCCCCATTTGAACACAGTTTCTTGCTATTTATTCTGTTTTAGCTCCTTCTGAACCAGGTTTAGGCAATCCATGTAGCTACCAAGGTCTATGTTACATTTACCCTCACTTTCGCAACTTGATGCCTACTCCAAATTTTATTCTGTAATATGGAAAAAAACCAATGAATCCCTATAGAACCAAAATCTATTATTAAAATGGAAGATAAGGAGTTCTTACCTCTGGTTTTTTCATTATCTGAATACTGAACATGTGATTTTTCATTGGATATATTACAATAAGGACATCACCAAATTCTGTGGGAATAATTCCTCTCCTGTAGTCTCTAGTATGCTCTGACCAAACAATGTGCACTTCATCATTTCCCAAATGTCTCAACTGAAAAAACAAGAAAATAATTTATACTGCTTTAAAAGCTCTTTAAGTACAGTCCTACAGTCACATACAACATAAAAAGGGGAAAAACGAAATTAAAAAATTGTTAAATTGCGCTTGATCAGTTTTACATATGAAACACAAACATTCAAAAACATTAGGAGACACTGCAGAAGACCAGATAATTTCAATTGTCAATAATCAATGGGAAACAGATAACTTAGATTTAAAAAGATTCACATATAGCCCAAATACTCTCCTTAACCAGCAACTGCACCAATTCTCCACTAACAGATCTTTTAAAAGATTGTTTTAAAAAAGGTAGTAAATAACTCATAGATTGGATAATCCCCAATTGAGTACGAGAAAGTTGATTATATTTGGTTTAACAAATTCATTTCCAGGTTTTCTTTGCCTATGAAACTGAAATATTCTTCCAAATAGATGTCTTGAGAATTGTTAGACCCTCAAGATGTTATTTAAATGTTTGTGGTGCTTGCTTACAAAGGTGTTTCTGGCAATCAGAGACAGTTAACATTATGATAATTAAAACTGTAAAAATATAAAACATTCAGAAATTGGATTTCTGATAAGGTATTAAAAAAATGAACTTAATGCCCTTTAGTCTTGAGTTTTCTTCAGAGAGAATGCTATAGAATAATGCATTTTATTATAAAATTTCATTATACTAGTGCATTTATTGATTCTGCCACTGTGAGCATTTGAGTTGACTTTTAGTGCAGATCTTACACGGGATTTCCATTAGTTTCAGATAACTAGACACACGGCAGGTGGAAAGGTTTAGAAGAGTAAACCTGGGATAACTGTCATCAATATTTACGCTATCATCTAACATACGGGCAATTTCTATTTCAGAAATACGTCATTTATTTTGGCTTAAGGATGAACATAGGGTAGGAAAAAGAACTTAAAATATGACTTAAACAAAGAGAGGAGTTAAGTCCAATTAGTGAAAGCCTCTCTTCTGTCACTCCTTAATCCTGGAGTAACTCCTTATATACATACACAAGTTGAATAATATAAACGTGTGAGACTTGGGCTTTGTGACATTTTTAAAAAGCAAAAAAGATTACACAACTCAGAAAAGCCATGGCTTCATAATTTCATTTTTTAATCAAAATACTTTAAAAATATCCTTCCTATACAGCCATCCCCATGTGTCAGCTTCCCTAATAGGTTTATGTTAACTGAATACAAAAGAAATGTGAAATAAATTTAACCAGGAGGGATGATCCAATCTAATTTTGATACATTAATGTCATATGCTGTACATGTTACAATAGCAGCCAGATCTAATACTAAGCTCCAGGCTATACTGAGATTTCCAAATGGCAGATTGTTCTAAGTGATATCAAGTATAATTGAAGTAATAAACGATAGTAAAAGCTGAGCACACTGTCAGGAAGAATTTAGGTATTTACTTTTTAAAATTAAATGAGTTAGGTAAGGAAAGACAAGACAACTGAAATAATGCAGGTCTCAATTTACAGAAAATTCCTTTTATTTATCTGCTACATTAACCCTTGAACTCTTGCCAAAACTATCTATAATTTCTAGTGTCCACTTATCTAAAGAAACGAGAAAAAAAGGGCAAGCGTACTTTTATAACTGAAGCTTGTTCAAATATCTTCTGTATGATATTAAAAGTCTGTTAAATAAGTTTAATGGAAAAGAGCAACATATTTTTGCCAAGCTCTTGTAATGAAGATTTCTGGCATAGAACTATGTACATAACAAAATCATTCTAAATATGTTCAAACATTTTAAGGGAAAAGCTTCATGAAATCCCTTATCATTTACATTCAAATGCTAAAAAAGTAATTATTTTAGGCTGTTATAATGAGGCATGTTTTTATATCTTTAAAATCTATTATAAGGTAATTAGATACAAATTGAGAAATTGCTAATCATTGCTATGTGACTTGGGAATTTTTGAAAGACTACTGAAAGAATCAATTTTTAATGGTTAAGCATTAATAGAAATTTCAGGCATATGTATGTTTGACATACTTAATATATTATTTAATATTGATTTTATGTATTCCTCTCTATGGACTTACAAGATTGTGTCCTATGGGGCAGGGTGTGGTGGCTCACACTTGCAATCTAAGCCCTCCGGGAGGCCGAGGCAGGCGAATTACCTGAGGTCAGGAGTTTTGAGACCAGCCTGGCCAACATAGTGAAATCCCGTCTCTACTAAAAATACAAAAATTAGACAGGTGTGGTGGCACACACCTGTAATCCCAGCTACTCAGGAGGCTGAGGAGGGAGGATTCCTTGAAACTGGGAGGTAGAAGTTGCAGAGAGCTGAGATCATGCCACTGCACTCCAGCCTGTGCGACACAGTTAGACTCCATCTCAAAGAAAGAAAAAAAAGATTGTGTCCTATGGATAACCAGTAGGTTTTGCTATACTCCAAAACCACCGAAGAAGTTGCTACTTATATGTTTATTGACCCAGATGCTAATTCATTTCTGAAATAGAGAAGAAGACTTGTGTACATGGGATAGGTCTGTTAAAATGATTGGCAACCAAACTACTCTTCTAACTTTCTTTCAACTGCTACTGAAGTCATTTTGGAACTCAAGATACATAACATAGGCTACAGATGACTATTATTAATTGAAGAAGACAAAGCAGCTAAATGAAATTCAACGTGTGTACAAGTGAAGTCCTCAAATACACTAGAATGTTAATACTGGAAGAGACCTTAAAGTTCTAGTTTCCCACCTAATACAGAAGCTGTGCCACCATATGCCTGATAAGTAGACACCCTGCCTCTGCTTGAATACTTCTAAGGTTGGGGATTTTATGAATTCACAAATCAACCCATTTCTTATTTATTTATTTTGAGACGGAGTTCACTCTTGTTGCCCAGGCTGGAGTGCAATGGTACGATCTCGGCATACTGCAACCTCTGCCTCCTGGGTTCAAGTGATTCTCTTGCCTCAGCTTCCCAAGTAGCTGGGATTACAGGCGCCTACCACCATGCCCAGCTAATTTTTTATTTTTAGTAGAGACAGGGTTTTGCCATGTTGGCCAGGCTGGTCTTGAACTCCTGACCTCAGGTGATCCGCTGGCCTCAGCCTCCCAAAGTGCTGGGATTACAGGTGTGAGCCACCGCGTCTGGCCCCCATTTCATTTTTAAAGAGCTACAATCATTAGAACATGTTAATACTAAGCTAAAAACTGTCAAACTGTCTTCCAGATGCTAGCTCTTCCAAAATGAGTCTTACCAAATAAATCCAATCTGTATTCTATATATTATCTTTTCCGTTATCTGAAGATCAGTCTAATATACATCTCACCTTTCCTTTTCCAGGTTAAAAGGGTTCTTCTTAGCTCCTCTTAACAAACATATTCATTATCTTGGGTTACAGTTTCAGTTTACTAATGTTTCTATTAAACTTGTGTATGGAACAGAATACAGTATCAACACACGCTCTGGATAATACAGCAAACCCACAATGGGGCTGTTTCTTCCTTTGGTCTGTTCAATAAATTACTTTCTGCATTTTAAAAGTGATGGCTTAAATGGAACTTGTAGTCAATTCAAGCTTCTAAGTCTTTTTCTTACCAAGTTCTTTTAAGCAGGTACAACTGACTGCTAGAACTAAAGAAGGGATTTCATAATTTTCCCTTGCCAGGTTCAGATTATCTTTAAGCCTATGAAGGTCTATTGTTAACCTGACTCTGCTATTCATGTGCTGGCACTCTGCCAGATTTGGGCTATCCTTGAGTTCAAATTCCAGTGTCTTCATTTACATTTTGGACAAAAGTGTCAAATGGGACAGGCTTGGTTAAGAGCCTTATAGCAAGTCATTATGCGCTTTCCTCCTGGTTAAAAAAATCCACATCCTATATTTATTAAAGGTATTTATTAAGTCCTTACTGTTTGTGACAATTCATTAAATTTCCACAACAATACTATTATCCCTATTTTTACAGGTGAGGAATTGAAGCTTAAAAGGATGAAGTAACTCACCTAAGGTCACAAATAGTAACTGGCAGAGCCAGGATTCAAACCCAGGCAGGCTGGTTCCAGAACCTATACTGTAACCACCTCCCTATATTGCTTCTTGTTAAATAATTAACTTACGTGCTATGAATATGATTATACAATCATTCATGAATATACTTACCAAACTGTTACGAAGACCACATTTCTTCAACTTGTCCACAACAAGCAACTTAGTTAAATGCTTTATTGCAGTCTATGGTTTTCCCTAATCTAGTAATCCTATTAAAACAAATTAAGTTAGTTTGATGTGATTTGTTATGGTGAACTCATGGTGGCTCCTAGTGATCACTACACTTCATTATCTAAGTGCTCACAAACCATCTGTTTAATAATCCTATTTTGCCAGGCACTGACATGAAGCTCATGAATGTTGGTTAATTTCTATAGTCTATGGCCTGCTCCGTGTTCTTTTGTGTAAATCAGATGTTTACCCATTGCTACAGACTGAATGTTTGCATCCTGCCCACCCCCCCAAATTCATATCCTGAAATCCTTACCCCTCAATGCGATGGTATTGGAAGATAGGGGACTCTGGGAGGTGATTAGGTTATGAGGGTTCCTTTATAACGGATTAGTGTCCTTACAAAAGAGACCCCAGAGAGCTTACTTGACTCTTCTGCTATTATATATAAGGTTACAATGAGAAGATGGTCATCTGTGAATGAGGGAGTGGTCCCTCAGCAGACAATGAATCTGTGAGCATCTTGATCTTAGATTTCTCAGCCCCCAGAACTGTGAGAAATAAATTTCTGTGGTTTATAAGCCATTCAGTCTATGGTATTTTTGTTATATCAGCCTGAATGGACTAAGACATTCACCTTATGGCAATGTACTCATTCTCCATGATTACCAACAGGAATTCCAGAGTCAATTCTAGATTTCCTCAGTGCCATATAATATCATTTATCTGGGGCTGGAGACTAGAATTCTTATAAAGGAACTGTATTATGTCTCTCACTAA